ACCTTAATATTAAGCCAAAAGTCAATAAAGCTTTAATATTGTTTCTATTTGATCAGCCTGGTTCATTGATTCATATTTTAATCCTCCCACAGAGGCTCATAGCTAGCACAGGAAGCAAGCAACGCAGTAGACTGTCCATCATGTCTCAACACCTCTGCACTGTTCAAAACTGTTTCGTAATTCCAGGTCACGCCTTTATTCCAAAACCAAAGGTAAGTCTTCTTTGTCCATCAACTTTGCTAACTGGATGTCGTGAATCAGAGCAGCCGCCGGCAGCTGCCTGACTCACACCGGAGGGTTTAGATTTAGAACTCGGCAGGCGGGTAGTGATGGATGGAGTGGAATTAACCAGGCACAGACGCGTGTAGGTTACAGGAGTTTGTTTACTTACGTCGCCTAGATAGTGATGGACGACGCAGGCGAGCCTTTGTTCCGTTACCGCTTCGGTTACAGAGTCAAATATACGCACGCAGTTAAATGACGGCGAGATAATGACGGACGTGGCGCCGAAAGCAGACAGTCGTGCTTGCAAGACTTTCTATGTCAATATTTTACGCTGACGGGGTGATGAATTAGGAACTGATCAATTTCCCAATTCTCTGGTGACAAGCACAGGTGTTTCCTGTGAAATCCCCAGAGCTCTCCGACTTGGGCGGAAACTGTTAAACTATTTATAGGCAGAGGTGTTTTACAGGAATGCCCAATGGTGAACCGTTATATGGAATCTTTAACAATCGTGAACCGTTATATGGAATCTTTAATTTTTTGGCAGGTGGCAGCTCTTTGTCTCCTCAAGTTACAAGGTAGTGGGTTAGGTTTCTCTACCTGTTACGTGTGTGCTACGTGTGAGGAGCTTACGCTTATCTTTGACCAATTATATATAGTTTCCCCTAGCATTTTATTTCAGCTGACCAATTATCTGTAGTACACCACCAGCGTTTTGTTTCAAGGAATTTCTTGGCAGGGAAGTCTTTTAACCCTTAATAGTCAAATGAAGATGATTTGAATGGTATCTCTTGCTCAGTGGCATGGGCACAAGTTAATTGGGTTGTGACACTGGACAACTGTGAATATAGGTTCATCTGATTCTTTAGAATAACACCAACATGTGAAAACCTGAAAAGGTTTACAAAGAGGATAGATCCTGGTATGTGCCAAGTGCTTGTACGTCCAATCTCAGTGGAAGCTGCGAGGCGAACAGTGCTTTGCAGGACCAAGCCAAAGAGCAGTGTGGGCCTACCCCTGAATAAAATATTGGAGGAATAGAGAAGGGGCTTAGAGTTGAATTATATAACAATGCGGTAAATTGAATAATATATTAACAAGATATATGGAAAGACATCCAAGATGAAGTGTATGAAAAGCTTTGGATTTGTTTAGAAAGGAGATGAGTAAGAGGAAACTGGGTCAATATATGCAAAATAATAAATGCACAAAGAAGATAATACCAAAAAAGGGTCAAGTGGTTAGCTACATGATTTGTTTGTTTTTTGAGGTTTTTTGTTATTTTTTTGTTTGTCATTTTTTTAAAATGAATACATAGTGACTTCTGGCTTCCATGAAGTTACTGCCCTCTGGATTACCAGCTGAATCGCCTCCTTCCTTTCTTCCAATTAGTCTTGCCAAACACCATCTGGGGAGACACTTTCACTTTCTGGCCTTGTGTAATACAGGAGGAAGAGCTTCAACAGGAACCATGAAACATCTGCTATCCCAGAATAGCTTAGATAGGGTACTCTTGTGAGAAGTGGTAAGTGAGTTGAGAGAGAGGAATTGAACCTGATTTTCTTCATATCCCGAGTAAATGTCCTAATCCAGTGGCACCCAACCTTCTGGCCCTGTGGGCTGGATGAGTGCTATGGGGTCAGTCTGTGGGCCAGACCCTGTGTAGGGTTGATATATGGGGTTGGTCCATGGGTGTGATCCAACGTGCCAGCCTGCGCACCAGGATCAAGCCATGCGCTGGCACAGTCCAGCATGCAAGGCCATGGTATCTGGCCTGCAGGACTCTCCATGGGTCTGAAATTTGGCAGCATGGGAATGGCAGTTAACGCTACCGCTGGTGCCCACCACATTGGGCTGGATCACACAGATCATATGGGCTGGAGGTTGAACACTCCTGGCCTACACAGTGGACTGTTCTATAAAAGGAGACAATGTCTCCTTCAGGTTACATATTTCCCTCTAGCCACCATTTTTTTTTCCAGATAAAACTATTTCATGAACTCAAGGAAATGTTTGTTTTAACAAAACCTCAGTTTTTGGTGAGTATGTGTGGAAGGTGGAGAGATAGTGAAAGGTGAGAGAGACCAAGATACCAGCTCTAAATTGAACAATTTTGACCTGAAAACCTTCATTAATAAACTTGGAATCCTAAAGCCATCCCTTC